TACATAGCTCAGTCCTCAAATCTGAAATCTGATGAGGGCACACCAGCCACTGGACGTGTAACTCCAACTGATATAAAGGGCACCATGGCCCGATGCCAGGGCAAAGACTGGGTGAAAATTTTAAACTGCATAAAAAGAAGGTTGACAACATAAAAAACAGTTCTGAGATAAATGGAACACAGCATATGTGTAATGACAGCATTAGCATGTGATGCTGTGATGCCTCTGTTGCCTGTTAATGTTACTGTCTGTTTCACAGCACCAGAGGGCAAATATATCAATCAATAGACATTTAAGTGGCACCAAAATTTGCATTCCACTAGATACCGATTGTATAGTAACCAGTGCCAGCACCGGGTTTCGGTACCCAACCCTAAAACCTAAGTGTACACACACACTGGCTGCTAAGACAATGCAAAGTGAGAGTCAGCAGTATGTGTTTTTTTTTTTTCATCATGTGGGCAAAAAATAAAGTCTTCATATTCTCTGAGAGAGAGAGAGAGAGAGAGCACCTTTCTGCCAGTGTTGTCAGTTTCAACCGTGCTAACATGCCATCCAAAACGTGACTCTGTAGGAGCTCACGTTAGTCAGTGTTATACATGGGTCTGCATATAATCACCTTTATTTGGCCACGTACGTTACAAGGAATTTGTTTTCGGTACAGAACTGAGGCAGCCATCTGTGGCGCCAACTCAACCAATGGCTCTAACCATCGCGGGCAAGTTGGGGATTCATTGTCTTGCCCAAGGACACTTCACATGTGGACTGCAGGCACTGAGATTTGAACCTCCAACCCTCTGGTTGGGAGACAACCCCTCTACCCACTGAACCACAGTCGCCCATATTTGGCCCAAAATTTTTAACTTACCCTTTGGCATGGAAGAATATCCAACATGTACAATTTATTTGAGCTACCAAGGATGAAATATGCTACAGGTCAGTTAGAGCAGAACAAGGGTAAAGTATACCGATGATTCCCGCTATCGTCAGCTTTGATTTAATGAGGCAAAGAGAGTGAGAGAGTTAAATGACATGCTAAATGATGAAAAAGGGAAACTACTACCCTCTGTCTCAAGTTCAAGGAGGGGGCTTCTAAGCCACAGTTAATTTGGTCAGAGGAATAAAGACAGCATTAGCAAAAGGGAACTTTTAAAGATTTGATACCCTCGTTTGCCAAGACAAAAACAACTGTAGGCAACAAACTCTTTCTTCACAAATATGACAAATTACAATATGTTGAATGGATTTTAAGTTTAAATAGTTTGCTTTCATATGGAGCAGACATAATAATAGGCTGCTGATGCATTGATGTGGTTTCTGGATTTATATTGAATTTTTGGAATTCTTTATTTCATACTGGCAGCGTGTAAGAGCGTCACAATATCCGCTCATCTATCATCGTTAGTTTGTCTTTTCTCTATACTTAGTATAGTACTTGTTAATATAATAACCTTTTTTAATAAGAAAGCCATGGAGAAGTAAAAATAAATGTACAGATAGAAAGAAGCTCAAATAAGCTACACAACCTTGTAATATTGGTGCAAAGGTTGTTTGAAATATTAAAAAAGTCTAACTTTGAAAATTAACAAAATCTGATTCAAATAAAGAAAGCTGAAAAATAGTATCAGGAAAAAGCTAGCACCTGATAGAAAATTATGATATGAATAATGCATGAATACACTGAAATGGAAAAAAAATCTAACAATATATTAATTATTCAGTCTCTTGTGTGCAGAAATAGCTGTACAATTCAATTGAAAGGTAAGTGGAAGAGTCAAGTCCCTTTAAGTAATTACAGACAGTAAATAGTGAAGAGTTTTGTTCTGACCTTCAGTATGACAAAGGTGCACACTAAAAGAAAAGCAAATCTCATTTCAACATATTTAAATTCAAAGCATAAAATTATTCCTTGTCATTTCTATTTGGACTTGTTTACATTGTATTTTTCCATCATATCAAGTCTAAAGTCAGTACCCAACAGGCCAAATACAGTAATTTTTAATCTTTTATCTGCATCCATTTGACCTTGATCACTGTGTGACAGCTACCAACACAGCAGCCAGTCAGTGTCAGTGGCCTGTTTCACACCGAGCCTGTCCCTACCCAGGCACCTCTTGGAACACTCTGTGCCCTGAGCCAGGCCAGTGGGAGATCCGGAACGACTCGAATGGAAATAAGGCACAAAAGGCCAGCTGCTTGCAGAGCACTGGCTTTACATAGAAGGAAGTGAGGGTTACTGAATATACTTGATACAGGCTATCCATCTTTTGATAGTGCAGTTGTTCCAAATGGGAAATTAGTGGTGGAAACGGGCGCATTTAAAATTAATTTTGTGGAAGACATTTGTAGAGAAGGTATATAGAGTAATTACTTAGGATTTTCCAGAATATCTATGAACACATACTGTCCCCTGTGATGAACCAACAAGTTGTGTCCCGTCCTTAGTTTGACTCTCTTTTATCAGTGACATCATTAAAAACATTTTAATTTGCTTCTACTTAAACAGCTCATTTGTGTGGTGTCCTAAAAATCGATTCCCAAACCTTCACAACACCCTGTGCCCTAAACAGACATCTGTGACATTAGGTGATGTGAAAGTGTAAAACTGCACTGACATGCTGAGCCACACTCATTGTCTGCATTAACTGGCTGCAGCTCAACTTAAGCTTGTAGCAGTGGCTTATGAAGTCACGCAAATGCATAACAGGAATGTGCAAACACATCACCGAGGCTCATAAGGGAGTTCACATATGCATTCTTATGAGAGCTTACCTTGAAAGAGCTGATGTGCGCTACAGTAGGTGCATTAAATATAGCTGTATGTGAGCTGCTGGGCTGATGTGGTGTAGAAGAAAGCAAGGCTACTTTATTTTCATACATAGCTCTAAGTTCTCTCATTGAGTTTTCTCCATTGATAATCACTGACTAAACCTGGTCTGTGTTACTTATGGCCATTTGTGAAATGAGTCGATTAGAGAAGCTGGTTCAGATTTGTGACATGTAAGCAGTAGAGAGTGCATGAACGATTAAGTGAATTTTAAATTGCTAGAGAGAGAGAGAGCACATTTCCTAAAAACTGAGAATTTTTGAGACTGTATGTTAACTGCTCATTCATGAAGATGCAAGGCAAGTGACAAAATGGAGCATAACTTTCACCTCTTCATTTGTATTTTTGTTTAATTTACAAATGAGCTGTGTTACTTTGCATTCAGTCTGGAATGTACAATCGTTTAGCGCTTCTATCAGCATGCTTTTAGTAATAAAAGTAATAAAAACTACAGTCTGGGTTGCTATGAGGCGCTTGAGTTGTGACTTAGCTTGGCCCAAAGCCAGATGAGAATCTGAGGGACAGTGCAGACAAACACCTGCATGTTCCAACAAGAAGTAAAGAGCCCCAATTTACACTTCTTAACAAACGAACAGCCCCAACACCTGAATGAATAATGGCACTGGTGCATGTTCTTCATTGACATATTTATATTCACAACATCACAGATATGCTAACTGTTCACAGTCGGATTGTAAGTGTCAGGAATTCCAGCTTTTTCCATTCAGTTGTTCCACACAAACTAACACAATAAAAGCCTTTCAGTGGAAACTGCTTCCCCTCGAGGCAACCCTGTTGGAAGCTCCATTCCCAAGAGGCTTTGTCACAGATGCTCTTTTTGTCTAAATTAGAAAATGACTATCACAGGAAGGAAGGTCAGACTGACTGCTAGAGAAAGCCTTTTTTTAGTTGAAAGTCACAGGCAGGCTACAGTGCATATGACTGTATTATAAAACGCTTCCACAGAACTTAAGCTTGCTAATTATTAGTTGTCATTAACAAGGCAGGAGATCTGCTTTGTGCTGTGGTGATTGGTTTCAAATTAGATAATGCACCTACAGTAAAAGTCACACCTATAGCTCTGCAGACAATTTGAGGAGAGGGACTTTGATAATATGATTAAATATGTAATTAAAAACTCAGACTTTGATCCATATTTACTCTTCAGTTATATTTAAGCACCACTTCCTCACAAAACAGACCTTTCAAAGAAAGAAAACACCACATGAGCTGAAGCATTTCCTCAGGCATTGACATTGTTGTATGATCCAATTTTCAGATACGATAGAGTGGCTTTAAAAACTGGGCTGCCTGTATTGATGTCTAAAGCACTTTAGCAGTCTCTCCGTCTCTCTCACAAATCCACATATGCATGTTCACACATATACTGTACACAATCCACTTCCCTTCCTAGGAAAGTACAGGATGTGTGGATGGAGAACTAAGCAGTCCCCCCCCCTCCACTGCTCTTGCCAAGAATGCTTTATGGGCCATGTTAATATTGGAATTCTCCTGCTGGAAAGATTGCTCGATTCAATCAAGCGAGTCACTGCCTTGTAAAGTCATTAGACTTTGTGCAGTGTCATGCATTCTGGAGCCAGTGGACAATCCTGTGTTCTGTCCCGGCATTAGGGAAGTGGCATAGCAAGCGCACGTGTGCCTGATTCGTCACCGCCTATAAATAGCCATCACCAACTAACATAAACACTTTTCAAAAACCAAGTGGAAATGCATTTTCTACAACCAAAGCACAGCGTTTTCCTTGTCATCTTAAGATCTTGTTAGACTTAAATATAAAAGACTTGAATAATTTTTCCACTGATTGTGCACACTCTGAGAGCCAGAGGGTATCAGATTGCAAAAGACAGAAGGAGAGAAGATGGAGAGATTGTGGTGTAGCCAGGGAAGAGGAAGTTGATATCAGGAAGGAATATCAGAAGAAGAACAAACATCCAAGTGACCTCACTGATAACATCTCCTGCAGCTGTCACTTTTTTGAAAGCAACAAAAGTGTTAGAGAAAACTTTAATTATGCACAGAGGAGAGGCACAGAGGCCATAACGTGCCTTGCCCAGAAAACAAAAACAAGAGCAGCAGTTTTATGAGTGGAGAAGGAGGAGTGCACAGGAAGTACTTGTACACGGTCAACATGCTGGAAGAAGCAGAGTCTTACCTGCTCAGAGGTCGTGGTTGGTGGGACGGAGAAGTGAGGAGAGTCAAAGGGTCCCAGGATGGTTGGGGGGTCTCGGTCCGGATCGAAACAGGGCTGGAGGGTGGTCCAGGAGAGGGAAGGAAGGATGGAGTGACAGGGAGCAGGGAGACGGGGAGGCTAAAGGGGGGAGAAGAAACGCTGCTAGCTTCTCACTCCCTTTCTCTCTCACTCTATCTTGTTTCTTCCTCCAAGATACACACTCACTCTGACACGCACACACACTCTCAGAGGCAGACACCAAAACCCAGAGTCACTCAGATAATAGGCAGAAAAGACTCTACATTTACACGCTCTGCCACAGGGGGAGGATGGGGTGTGCTCTCCTCCCACTCTCCTCCAGGCAGCCAATGGGAGGCTGCAGAGAGCTGTCCAGGCAGCCAATCAAAGTGGAAGCAGCCGGTGCCTTGCCCTAGCCAATAAGTGCAATAGCTCATATCCAGTTGTAATAATTACAATATGGAAGGAGTCGTGGAAAGGTTCCATTTTGAAGGACAGACCAAGCGTTGCATTCCAGCCAGTGAGTGTGATTTAGTGCTGCCACAGACATTAGAGTGATTAGATTCTGGGCCACTTCCTGTTGCCCAGTACCGTATCACTGCAGGCGGACAGAGAGAGTCTTTAGACAGCTGGAGTTTGAGAATTACTCATATAGGAGGGCATGACCATTGGCATGAACGCACAATGACACATGCATGCGTGTGTTCACATTCAAAGGGTGTCATGCACACTCACATAATCAATTCCATAGTGCCACATACAGCTCAGACGATGGCTCAGGCAAGCATCCAGCTTAATAAATGATCAATGGTGAAGTGTCAGGTTGAGGAATGAAAAGCACATCACAACTCCGCTCCTCCTTTTCATAGAGGGAAGTGAAGGAGGCACCAGTTTTAATGTTACGTCAAAAACAGTGCAATGAATTGGAGCTTTTCGGTTTGTCTTTTTGTCAGCAAACACAGCCCAGCAACTTGCTGAAAGGTAGATTTTCTGAGGGATGGAGGGAATTCTCAGGGGTCGCCAGCTGTAGAGGCTGCAGGGTTTTTATATAGTGTACTGCTGTGAAACAGTATGATGATGTTCACAAGCTGTAACAGTATGTTGGCTTCACTGTGAAAAGAAAGGGTTCCCAAGGAAAATGATTCAGTCATTTTCTGAATTGCTGTTCAGGGTGGTGGGGGGCTGGAGCCTATCAGAGCATGCATTTGACAAGAGGCAGGAGCACCCACCCTGGACTGGTCAGCACTCTACCACAGGGCTAACACACACACACACACATCATCATCATCATCATCACATTGCATTCTCACCCGTGGACGCTTCAACATCTCTTCAGACCCTATAACTGTGGAGGAACTATGTATGAGTCTCTAACTTCTAACTGAAGCTGCAGTTTCCCACAGAATAACATTATTTTTCTAAATAAATATAGTAATGCTATGGTGCTGTTCATCTGATCTGTCCCTTGTGCACCAGCTCTCCCACAGCAACAGCATGTTGGCTGCTGCTGCTAGTAAAACTCTTGACAATGGTCCATATTGGAGTCTTTGCTTGTATAATGGCATGTAGGATTGAATGTACATCCATGACTTCTAATCAGAATGATTTCAAAATAATTTCATGGGTTATTTAATTTTAATTTAATTTGATTTTAGTTAATTAATTATATTTGCGCTTCTGTCCGTGCATGAGATTGCGTCTTATCAACACAGAGTGTAAAATACCTTGTGGATGAGCTGACACTGTGCATAAGAACGTTTTTGGACACATCCAATCAGTATGGGTCCTATAGTGGAGCAGTCTATAGCGGAAGGGTCACAGATTCTAAAGGCAACGCTGTCATTAACAGCAGCATAGTTTTGCAGAACAAAGCTGATCTGACCCCTGTCTGTGCATAAAAGGGAGAGGAAGAGGCATAAAAAATTCATTAGCAGATGGAAGGAGATATATGTAGCCAGCTGCACTGATGATGACCATGGCTAGTGAGCTGTGTAAGGTTGGCGAGGAAACTGACCTGACCTGGGTAAATTTGGAGTTACACCATCACAGTGGTCTTTTCAGCAGTGAGATGGTATATTTGTTTTTGTTTTTGTGTTTACTTTTTAGTTTATCATAAAACCAGATAAATACTGGCCTTAGGTTTTTCTCACTGATGAATATTAACTAAGAGTAATATTCCCCAAGTGGCTGCTACATTTTGGCTCAGTTTTGGCAAGAGCTGAAGAACTCTTTCCTCAATGCTGCTAAGTGAAATTTTCATCCAGAAATCTGTATTTATAGTATGTATTAATCTAAATGCAGAGGCACAGGTTGCATTGATTAAGCTGCATCAGTTACTATGCATTCATTCATTCATTCAGCTTCTATACCGCTCAGTCCCAAATGGGGAATGGAATGGGCATGAGGTCACGGTGACTTTAACCTTTTACCGAGAAAATGTAATCACTTCATCTTTGAGTCCAGGTGGACACTTCTGGCAAATGTGAGGAAATTCCTTCATGGCTTTGCTGAGATGCATTCAAGAGAACAGGACAAACAGGCAGATAACCCAAAAACATAATGCCACCGGCTATGGCTATTTCCAGTGTGGAGACAAAAAAAGACAGCAGGTATGATGAATTGGCCAGAGCCTACCTTCACAATTCCAGGAATATTCACTCTAGTTAACATCCTTCTCATCAAATATTTAAAGACAGGAGGGGGGAAAATAGACTTAAATGCCAGAAGATTCACAAGGACATCTAAAGACGGGGATTGTTACTCATTATCTATCTAAATGTCAGTGAAATGTGAACGCCTTGCAGTACTGTAGGTATTAAGTACTTCAGACACTACACAAATGTTGCATTAATCTTCCTTATTACCCTTTGACGAGGAAATGTTGGTGTAGGTTGAGGCAGAATGCGTTGAAATGTAAATGTTTGAAGACATTTACTAATGATTTATGGCAGCCAGTCTTATTTTCCTGTATATAAGCTGAGTGGGTATCACAGTAAAATGAGGCATCTCTTCTATGAGAACACATTAGAAGGCCACAAAACAAAGGGTTACAGCACCATGAGTTCAGATATTATTAGACTTAGGTTAATGTGACAGTGAGTCACCAGCGTTGAATAAACACAGCTCAGAGGTCTGATAGCTGTGGCTTCTTGCTTCCGCCCCGAATGTAATTAAGTCCCCCAATATCTGGTTGTCACCTTGTAGTATCATTACCGTCACTGGATCATTTCACTGTACTTAGTTATTACTTAGCACCCACTAAATGTAGCCTTCCCTAGGCAGCCAATGTGATGGCACTTCGTAGCAAAGCCAGCTGTGGGTTGTTTCAGCCCAACCTCCCTCTAACCTCAGTCAGTCAAGAAAGTTTAAATGGATAATATGCCACTCAGTGTTTTTCTTTTTCCCCCAGAGATATACTCAACCAAGGACACTGAGTTGAGGAATTGGACAGGAGTTATGATTCTAGTTTATTTTCTTTCCACTAGGGACCCTGCTGTGACACTGAGCTTCCTCAAGTCAATTAATATAAGCCTTACAGCTCTCGTAAGGCTGCTCAGTGGGTTAAAATCCTTAAGAGGCAGATTTGATGAAATTGAGTGGGAAGTGACTTCATGTACTTACTATTTTTAGGGAATACACACTCTATATGATGGGGGGGGTGAATGGATAAATGCGGCTCTGTGTCCTGCTGGTTACACTTAAGTCCCAAATGACATGCCATTAAAGATGATGCCTTCAGGCTTCTAATATTTAATACTGACTTCTGCATGAGTTTATTGACGTGAAAAAAAAGACCCAGTAAAGTTTTTAAAAACTTCCATCTATGTAAGTACAGCCTTGTTTACTATACACATCCGTGAAATGTTACAGTATAACAGATGAAAACATAGAGTGTGAAAAGCTTGAGCACTAAAATCACATTTTTAACCCTAGTGCTATGAACAGGATCTATACACTTGCCTGCTGATTCCCCCAAGTGTGCATGAACTGCAATGCTTTGTTCTGATTCGAAGCTGAGTATCGTCTACTGTCAGCCTGGAGGCCATGGTATATGGTCAGTTATGTGCTCTATGCTGTTGTGTTTTTAATAGAATTAATTTGGCAAAGGCAACATTAGATCCCTTTCATCTTGTTTTTGCATAGACCTCATCTATTTTTATATATTCCAGATATATTTCTGTGCTTGATTTCAGATATTTTTGCATTTCAGAATTGTTTTGCTTGGGGTTGGTCATAGAGGGTATTAATAGTAAATTCATACTTTCAGATATTGATTTAAAAACTGCCTTGTACAAAGAACAACTAGAATAGACTTGTTAGCACTGTTAAAGCTTGCAGGACCGATTGTGATGACATTCTTGATGGAAAGTCATTGTTATAAGTTTTTTCCCTTAATCAGTGTTACAAAGTAATTTACCTGTGGCATGTGTGTGTTTTTGATAATTCTTTTTGGGGTTTGGATTGAAAGCAGAGCAGTTTTTTTTTCAGCAGTATCTTCTACGAACTGTTTTGGGCAATTGCATATTTTTAGGTTTGCTTCCGATTTAAACTTGCTTGCTTACTTTCATGACCTTAGACTGCTGTTCACCATATTTTGTCTTCAGATCATTTTTGAGTTTGCAGCCCCCAAATCACCTGTAGATGGTTTATTTTGGCATTTGATATTCAGTGTTTACTTCACTCTGTTTCTGTCATTTGGATGTACTAAAATAACAGAACAGTAAAAACGGTGCAGCTGCTAGAGCTCATTTCTGGCAGGAATGGCTCATAGTAGGATGGATGTGCCTTCTTCACGCTGGAACACACTGTTGAGCCTTCTAAAATCCTCTCATAACTTGCCACAAATGCCTATTTGGTGATTTACAAATACAAAGTTATTAATGTTTGTCTCTCAAGGCCACATATGTGTGTTTGTTGATCTACAAATAAAATCAAGATTTACAAATGTGTGAAAACAGTTTTCTGTGTGCAGTGTCAGTTAGACATCATTTAACTCGTATCCTGAGCTTCCATATTAATGCTTTCCCATTCTACTGACAGCTAAAGAGGCACACAGCATGAATGAGTGTTAGTTCCTGGACTCAGGGGCCTTAACGTCTAGTTTGGGGAAAACTGCCAGGACTGAACCTTAACCTGTCAAGGTCACCATCAGGTCACTGTGCTACCATAGTACCAGCATAAAAAACCCTGCAAGTGGCCCATTACATTACTGTAATTGCAAATTTCAGAAAGCAGCACTCCAAAGCCTATGGAGTGTGGACAAAGGACAAATGTGATTGCTGTAAAATGTGTTTCCCTCTCTTTACAGACGATCATTATAAAGATGTAGAGGAATGTCTTCTTCACATCGGCAGACCTTACACTTAGGTGAGTACTTTACATCAGTGTTAAATACTACACTGTGTTGCGCTGACTCTACTGATGAACCATATTAATCAGCTGAATGATGTATTAATCACTTTTGTATTACTTTAGTGTGTTAACATGGTTATAGCTTGCCAGCATTAATCTGCAGTCAGACGCTTGACTTCATATTGGGGCATAAAGCTACTGCTAGAAGGAACTCGTGGGCATATTACTTCAAAGCAACTACCAGATTAGGCAACTCTGACTTATTCAAATTAATCTTCTTAATCAAGTATTATCTTAAAACTTCCTCCTAAGTGCATCCCAACTTTAAAGAAGAGATTTAAGAAGATTTCATCTCCACTGATCTAATTCACTTTTCTTAAAATCTACTTTTACTTGTAGACCTACAGCCAATGTATTCATGATTTCCTGGTGAGTTTATTTAGAAAAGTATCAATCTCAACATGTTTAGGCAAGTTTGTACAAATGTCCTAAATATTTAAGAGTACTCAACAGATTTAACAGCACTGACAGTCACAATGGACTGCCACAAAAAAGGAACCGAACTCAATGCAGCCCATATTGAATGTTTTATTCCACATATTCTTCTTCCACATCAAACCCTGGCACCCACTTTAGCCACTTGACCACTGATTATAGATTGGAGCGTGTTATGCAACAGCAGCTACGGTAGAATCCAGCCGCTAGCAAAATTCTTCTGACTCCGTAAACCTAGATTTTTTTTCATTTTCTAGTTTTCAACTCCAACTGATGCCGACATCACTTGAGGAGATTTAGTCACAGCCCCACGTACAGCTGATGTGTTCACTGTAGCTGGATGACATGTAAACCGAAGCAGGAGGAGCTCAGTGAACAGTCGGTACGTTTTGGAGTCGGTTTAATACTTTTGAGCAGAGAACATATTTTCTTCTAGCTTTAGTAGGCATTTGAGGACTGGTCATGACAAATACTGGGGGCACAATTTTCCATTTTTCATGTCTGGTGTGTGTGTGTGTGTGCCCTTGTCCCCAGCGGTGATTACACCCTAGGTCTACAGTCATTCTCCCCGATTACACCCTAGGTCTACAGTCATTCTGCTCTTCTCTGCTACCCGCCAAGAAAAGAAAGTTGTACCTTGTTGTCATCTTATAGCCTTGCTATGCTTAAATGTAAAATGCTATGCCCTCAGTCGGGTGTCAATTTTTCCCCATGGTATCAAATGTCAATTTTTCAAGGTATTGTACTAAAGTTAGACATTCCAGGATCGTGACTAGTCTCCAGTGCTTCTCCTTGCCGTAGGAGAAGCCGATATGTGGTGGGGTCAACAACAGCAGCAGCCCTTTGAGGAGAACATTAAACTGCCGGTCATGCATCAAGGTCACAGTACAGTAATGATTCACCATGAGATGACACCATTTGGTTCAATGGAAACCATGATTTGACATACTGTATATGCTGATGTACCTCAAATTGTTACTGTGGTTGAAAAGGACTTTAATTCAGTGCCTGGGAGAGAAACAGTACAGCACATTTTGTTAGAAAAATAGATATCCACAGGTTGAGTCAGCGCATCAGTAGCACTAATGCCAGGTTAGTCTAAAATTCATTGCAAGGCTACCGCAGTCTCCTTAACATACTGGTTTTCCTCTTCCTAACATCCATGACAGTAATCTTCTTCGATCAGCAGCAGACTAATCATTTCCAGCTCTCAGCTTTTCTGCTTTTTATAAATGGTGAAGAGAAAATAATTTCAGCTAGAAAGAATGTTGCCCTATGGATGTGGGATTATTTATTTCAGTGTAGTGTCAGTGTGTGTCTCATTTAAATATAGAGTGAAGTATGTGAACAAAAACCGCTGTAACATTTACATATTTGTACAAAAATGTGTACAAAACACGACTGTGAGCCTACTCTGTAAAGCAGCCCTGCTTGTTTAATAAGGCACAGTGTCTGATCAGAAGTTCAACTGAAGAAGAATTAAATGTTCTGTGCTGTGTAGAATATATTTAGCATTTTTCCAAATTATTTCTTGTACTTGCATAACTTCATTAAAAATAAATATCTATTATTGCCTTAAAATTTAAAATAGTCCTCAGACATTTTCCATACTCCCATCATAACCCACAGTTCTAAAATGAAATTGGAAAAATTGGAAATGATCAGTACCTCAATTAAAAGAACATTCAATAGCGTGATGGATATAGCATTTTTAAAACAGTACAACACTGATAACGTTAAAAAAGGAACACTAACAACATGTAATATACAGAATAAAAATGCATACAAATTGAGGAGGCATTTAGCTGTTTCACCAAATACATGACAAAGCCCCCAAGAAAAATGACCAGCACCCCTCTGTTCAACCCACCTCTTTGGCATTTATGGAGGGGAGGAGCGGATGTTACAAAGTGTCTCTGCCAGGCAAAGAGCCACACGGCCAGTTTATTAGATGCCACACGTTCACAAGGCATCATCGGAACGGAAAACGTCTGCTTGGACATTAAAACGGTTTAACTAAAGCCCAGAACATTAGGAAAAACAAAGACCGGGGGGATTTATTTGTAGGATTGTGATGTGAGGGCATTCTCAATGCAGAGGACGATGTAGGAGCCGGAGCAGCTACTGGAGGTTTGCTGCAGGAGGTGGCCGCTCTGTAGTGATGATGCCAGACCAGTTACAGCACGGTCACCTGCCCGCCATGTTTCACAGTAGTGGTCTGTTTGCCTGTGGCCTTTGTTGCTTGAGCCATGCCAGACCATTTTCTCTGGCCTGGAGGGAAGCAAAAACAAGCACAGATGTCAGACTATAAAGTACATACAGTATATACCTACAGATAAAAATCCAACTGGAAGTGCAAAATTAAAGTGCAGAGTAACAAGGGAAACTAAAAGTCCTACTACACAAACAGCAGCATGTACAGATATAATTATTCTAAGCTGACAAAGACTCACCATGCGCTGTCCCTGAGGATATCTCTACCATCAAAGGAGTACATTGGTACATTCTCCCTCATTCTGCTTGCATCATTGAAAATAGACTCCCAGCTGCTAAACAACACTTGATCCTGCAAGGAGAGTATAATACTTTAAATACAGATTCACCTAAATACTGTTCTTTATAAAGCAGCAAGAGCCACCAAAATCAAGTCATTTTAGAAAACAGTGATGACATATTGCAAAACCACAACCATCAACAAATTAACATCCAAATAAATGGCATGTATGCAAAAACGTACAATGAAGCAGCAGTATCTCACCTTGAGGTTCAAAATGGGGAAGCCGTCCCTGTCCGACCTACGTACGATGGTGTAAAGGTCTTGAAGTTTGGAGGACAGGAAAGCTCTAAAGGTTCCTTTCAGGCCCACAGCACGAGCCTGCTGGAAGCACAGGAAGTCTGCTCCGCGAATTCCTCGCATGTTACCAGTTTGAGGGGCGTTCAAGGCGATGAGATGTAGCTGATAAAGACAGATGTATGTTAAAATAGAAGCCTTCCTTTGACCTGCTCATGTTACCCCAGCAGGGTCGATCACTGAAATTGAATTATTTTGGTCCACTGTTGAAAATAGCCTCTGTGCATGTTTTCTTGCTTAAAAAAAAACATTAAAAAAACAAAAAACAAATGGAATTCTTTTCCAAAGCTGCTCCCAAAACATTTATAGCTTCCATTGAATAGATACACATACTACATTCAACAGTATCAGTAGCATTGTGCAATGTGTCCTCCTCCCACCACCACGTGCATTACCTCACCGATAAAATCCTTGACCATCACTCAGTTATTTAGTGTATTTTAGTGCCAGAGTTTACACCAAATTGTCCTGCATCAAAGTAACACAATGCCCTCCATAATTAAGTTATTTATAGGCTATTTAATATGTAGTCGAGCTCTCGTGGCTCAGCTCTACTCACCCCTAATCCTGATGTGTGCACATGTGGCACAGGTGGGTTGGGTCGTCTTGGGGGAGTCACAGGGTCTCTGTTCTCAGTGTGTTGCGTGACTGATCTTCCATCTGTCTGACCTGTGTGTCTCAGGTCTGGGAACCTGGGATCATACTGTGGCGGGTATCTGGGGTCTACAGGTGAGTGTGGTGGAGGCTCAACTGGTCGTATTACTAAACCACCATCGGAGTAATGCCCAGCTCCACTGTTGTGGGACTGGTCCTGGGACTGGGGGTACAGGATCACAGGTGGAGGCTGGACTTCTGCTACCTCATTCTCCTTCAAAGGAAAACCAAGAGGTTATGAAGCAGTCAGTGAATGTCAGAAGTAGGGCTGTACCTGACTAAGAATTTCATCAGTTGACTTGGCTCCAACAGATCCCAGGAACAACATCTGAGATCTCTGTCCAGAAGAGTGCAGTGCTAGGAACAGCTAAGATACTGCGCAGGACCCTCAAGCTCCCAGGCCTCTGGTAGAGGACCTGAATTATATATATATACGTTCTTAAGACTGCCAGAAAATCAACTAGCATGAATTTCCGTGATGATTTCAACCACATTAACATCATTATTCCAATGCAGGTTTGATCTTTTCTTGTCAGTTAACCACCAGAGCATGTTGTTACATTTGATGTGTGCTGGTTTGCACTGCTAAAGAATATAAGAATATGCATTTATGATTCTGCTTATGATTCCTCATTGAAATGTTTTCCCAGTGCATTTTGGATCAGATGGATGCTGTTCAGATGGATGCATGTCACAGAAACAGTCAGTAAACTGCTTTACTGGAGACTGGCAAACAAACTGGATGAGGAGAAGAAGATGACAAACTAATGGGAGCCATACCTTCTATTTTAGTGCACACTGGCTGACAAAAAATAAAAAAGGGTCTCAGTCCAATGACTTGGCCTCTTGACTAATCGACTTTCAGGGGGAAGCCCTAGTCAAAAGGCAACGTATGTTTTGGTTGTGTTCTTTGGTTGAATGTAACTTACCAGATCTCTGAAGAAGGGACTGTAATCTCCAAGCTGAGAAGGAAAAAAATAAAAAAATAAGCTGTTCGGTGAAAAAATATACAAGAAATTATTCATCTGATCTGACCTGTATTGCATAATATGTGGTGTAATGTTATCTGTGTATTAACACTGTATCACATTTTTTGTGTTGTATTTTTGCTTGTATGTTATTTACAGAACATAAGTCAAATAAATGCTTAGAATCCTGCCCAAGCATTTTGATGTTTATTGCTCTTTATATGCTCTATCACCATATTCATTTTATAAAACAGAAATATAGCATTTGTGTAAACCTCTTTTGATTTTCTTGTCCCTTTGTGGCCAAAAATTGATGAGAGCAGTAGCGTTACAGTTTTACTGTATTAAAGCCCTATGGTATGATTTAGAGTTTAAAATCCTGTTGTGAGCTCTGTGGTAAAAATTCATGAGTAAATTGCTGTACCATGACTTGCCGCAGTCCGTTGTGCACTCTTAAATACAGGTCTGCTTTGTCTATGATGTAGATGAGGCTGCCCTCTGGCTGGTGTTTGGCAGTAGCAAACATGGTGTCATATGACCTCAAAACTGTAACCTGTGGAAGACAAATATACATGATGTTTAGGTTTTGTTGTCAGTGAAATTGATAAGTATGGCATCCATTTCTTAATCTGACAATCTCTGACACAACACAACCAGTTATAGTAGTAATAACACAACCGGGCCAGCCCACTGACTAATCATAATGAACTAAGAGATATGTGCTGAGGATGCATTTGGAATATCGGCTGAACAATCTTAGTAAGAATTTCAAGTCAAAAGTGAAGCCACTTACACCAGAGGAGAGACCAGGACTTCCAGGTGGCCCAGGAGGACCAGGAGGTCCAGGAACACTAATAGCTTCACATGAAAACAAATGCTTGTTAATGATTTGGCTTGTGAACAGCGTCAGTGGACTTTGTCTCCAGTAGTCAGTTATGCAGAAATACCTAAAGTATTAAAAAAAAAAACACCACTTACAGTGATGGGGCCTATATGGTCCAGGTAGTGAGGGAGATCCTGGAGGTCCAGGTGGTCCTGGAGGACCTGGAGGCCCATCATAACCAATCCCTGGTGCCCCTGGTGGTCCCTGGGGTCCAGGAAGGCCTATAATGGAATCTCCCTTTGGACCCTAAAATGAAAAAAAAATAAAAAATCTAAACTACTGGAACATTACAAACACTTCTGTGACAAACAACTTTTATTTAACCTCTGCTTGGATGACACCTATGGCCAGAAACATTATGTTGTTGGGTGGCCTCTCCATCCAATTCTTGTAAACTGATATCTCAGGAACATCTTCAAGGAGTTTCTTCAAATTTGGCAAAAATTTCCACTTGGACTCAAAAGCATGACCTGATTAGATTTTGATGATCAAAGGTCAAGATAATTCTGACTGCACATCTGTCTCATTCTCATGAACGAGATACATCAGAAAACCCCTGAAGGGATTTCTTCAAATTAAATACACTTGATATTGTTTATTAAATTTCTTGAGTCTTCATCACACACTATATGAGTATGTATGGACAGATTTTATGTGTAATAACTGATCATGTGCTGAAGATGGGCTTGTTGTTTTCCATAACTTATTTAAGCAGTTCATTTTGGATAGACACTTACTGTAACTCTCAGAACTCACCGGTAGGCCTGGTTTGCCAGGAGGCCCTGGTGGGCCTTGTGCTCCTCCAAAACGTGGGTCATAGTAACCACCACCAGGCTCTCCCTTTTCTCCCTTCACACCTGGGTCTCCACGCACTCCCTTCAGTTCATTCTGTTGGAAAGAGTTCAACTGTACGATGTTTTTTTTTCTTTCTTACACGCCATCCAGTCTGCTAAGCTAATAAAATTGACTCATGGTATAATGATAAGACAGTTTACCTTGAATGTGTAAATATCAAAATTAGAGGCTGCTCCTTGAAAAAACAAAGGCATTTTAGTAATTAAGTACTAATAATTCACTGTGGATATGTACAGTATGTAATAATGGCACTGTGTGTATATTTTATGCAAACTCTAGGATTTACCTGGAAGTCCTCGCTCGCCACGCTCTCCTTTTTCCCCTTTAATTACTACAAAACACAAAAATTAACATTGCAGAGTCAGACACCATATCCCACAGGTGTATCTGATATTTGCATTGCAAAACGTCCTAGCACCCTGTTTCACTGAGAGTGAGGTTGGCAGCTTAATCTCTCTCTATACAGTGTATATTCCCTTCAGGCTGAGGCAGCTGGATCAAACTGAAATTAAGATAGAAGCCTTTTATGTCTGCAGACACTTTCTGAATCTCTCTTCATTGACTGCCACATTTATGTTTCTCCTCCCATTTTGAGCCCTCTCTGTCTTACAGTATTATGTAATTGTGCTAAAACAACAAACTGTGTGTTGGGAGGTGATACCTGGGTAATTCCTGGAAGTTTCATCATAGCGCTATGAATAGAAAGAAAAAAATGCTCAATGAAGCAATTCGTAACACCAGCAACAACAGAGGAAAAGATTTTTCCATGGTTTAAGTTGAACTATGCAATGAGCAACCGACTCACTAGTTTCACCAGTCAGCAAAGGCTTAAACAACAGAACAAACAGACTGGATAATGACTTGTCATCTGTATCAGTGATTCATATGTGGTATGGTTTAGCTCTCAGTCAAGAGACACAGTCTTCGTACCAACACTAGCCAGTACATAGAAATATCCAAAAGCTTAGTTTGAACTATGATGATTGGGAGCTTGTGTACTCACACTGAAGCGATCTAAAGAAATGGCTGGTCCAGGGGGTCCAGGGGGTCCTGGTGGTCCTGGTGGGCCGGGGACTCCCTGATGTAAACAAAGCCATTCACTCTTTGGCCCAATCCCAATTCCCCTCCTTGCCCTTGCCACTTAACCCATGTAAGCGAAATGACCACAGCTGAAGTCAGTATTGTGTGGTTAAAAATTTCTGACAACTCATCATGTCTGTTTACTTAACCGTCATAGTTAACTACTGAAGATGCATAGAGGTCTTCAAGGGTTGTCCCATTTCACTGGGTAAGAATTCAACCACTACTCCTTGTAAAACCGGAAGGAAAATGCCACAGAGCTCAGGAAGTTCACAACAAAGTTATTGAAGGTGCTCTTTTGCAAAATGGACCAAAAATAAGCAGATGAAAAAAGACCAAAGGTGCTCTTCTGAAAAATAGTTTTAAAAAACCCTTTATTCCAATGGATCTCTCATAATGAGGATTAAAAACTATACTTATACAAAATGTGGGTTACAGCCCACATGCAGTGGCAAAAACTGCCTTTTTCACAGTGCGACCTGCAATACACCGTTTTCCCTTAAGTAGATCTGAGGCAATTGTAAACACGTGGTCATAATGGGGAACCAATCGTCCCATTCATGGCTAAACACCAGCAGGTGGCCACATAAGGAATCAAGAAACATGCACATACACTCACTTGAAAAAGTAACGGCACTGTTTGATATTTGTTACTGGTAATAATCATACACTTACTGGGTAGGCATAACCAGCGCCGGCCCCTGGATCTCCTTTCTCTCCCTTGTATCCATTAACACCATGGCGACCCTGAGGGGAGAAGGTCATTGGTTAATATTTTCATGCACTTGCAAAAACTAAAGTGGGGTAAATATGTAAACAGAACAATACACAATAAGTCAGCAAAATGTATAGTATGCTTGATAAAGGCACTGAATCGTATTACATAGTCATATGAAACTATACCAACATAAGACACCACAAAGAGGTACTTACAGGTCTGCCAGGCATTCCAATTTCACCCTTTGATCCAGGAGGCCCATACTGGCCCTACAGTAATAGGTTATGGAACAAAAGAGAATGTGAGCTGAAAAATACATACATGGATTTTGGTACATTAGTATAAATATCTTCTATAGAAATTCTCAAACACTTACAGGGGGTCCAACAGGTCCAGAAGGTCCTCTGTCTCCCTACATATCGTACATATGATAAAACAAGAAGTAGTCTAGTGATAGCCACAAATGTATAACCAGTGTAAAACTCAAATACACTGGACAGACATCCAGTAACTGATTATTTTAGGATTAACATACAGTAAGTCCAGACAGTCATATGGACTGACACTCACCTTTAGACCTCTTAACCCTTCCGGATACAGAACATTTCCATCAGGCCCTATTACTGAGCCTGGCTCACCTTTCTCACCCTGAACACAGGACAACAGCAGTGAGACACACAGTGACCACTCAATTGGTCAAAGTGACTTAATTATTGTAAGTGGATAAATGAATAGCTGAACAAAGGAATAACCAAGATTTTACCTTTACTCCATGGCCTGCAATGCCGGGGTCCCCTCTGTCACCCTTTGGTCCCATAGGACCCTGTGGAATAAAGAAGCTAAGTATGACATTCCTAACAGGGGTAACAGTAATTTGGTAGCAACAAAGCCTCAATTCCTCTAGATCAATTCCAACCAACTCAATCAACCTTCCCATTAGTCTCTGTTCATACAGAGGTGCTGAGTACACCATTGTTTAGATACTATGTCAGCATTAGTAAATGAGATGCTGAGGGTTATTTGAGTAGATGCAGTATGGTACCACTGAGCAAAGAAGCCTTGGATATGTGCTGGGTGCAAGACTTGTTGTTTTTAAGCATTATGGGAATTTGAAAGAAATGGAGCTTGGGCCGATCCAAGTATAAAGAAGTCTTCTCTTTTGCCTATATGCCACTTCCATGTCATTGTTCAGAGATGTGTTGTGCATGTAAAAGAGGTCTGTACAATATTACAAAGTACAAACAATAAATGGTAAATGGACTGTATTTATATAGCGCATTTCTCACAGTGTGTTGCACTGGCCAAAGCGCTTTACAGGAGATCATACACCATTCACCCATTCACACACAACATTCACACACTGATGACGACAAGGCTGCCACACAACGGCGCTAGTCAAGCCACCGGGAGCAATTCGGGGTTCCGATCTTCAGTAAAACTAGTGTCCCACTGTTAAAAGTAATAGAATTTATTAAAAGAAAAATTTAAAGCCCCTCAAAGGGTGGTTTCAAATTTGAAATGACTGTGCACATATGGTTCAATCAGATTGTGGCCTGGCAGCATAAAGAAACAACACCACAACAAGCAACTGATTGGAGCACTGAAATACCTGACATCACTGGTTCCCAACTGAGCGCCGCTTTCCAAGGCCTTCTTCTAAGAATTAGACTTGTATATTGTCCAAAAAAGGCCCTTAAAACATGCTTGGTCTTTGCTCTTCATTGTGAATTCCCAGATTAACGAATATATATATATATATAACATTAAGATTAGTTGATATTTTGTAACTGATGGCTAACATGCTTAGAGTTTGAAATTATATCTACAAGTAGCAAGACATACTAATGGCACTGTTTACAATTTCCTGGTATTCTGCATAAATTGGTCATGAAACCTGGTCTTCACCAAAGTCACAAACACAATATTTCTAAGCTGCTAAAACACAGTTAAGATCTTTCATGTCTTTACTGAACACACCCAATAAACATATAAAGTAACTTTGGCAGGGTCCGGTTTATATCCAAAAACGCTGTACTCCATCATATTTGTTATCAACAAATAAACCTTTTGCTCCCACTTCATATTTGCTGAAAAGTTAGTTCTGGCTCCTCTGAGACCAGAGGTTTCATGTTTATCTTGCACTCCTGAATTCTGTAGATATTATCATGTATGTAGACATGCTTCACATTTATGGTTATAATAAGGGCAAGATACATAAGTTATGTAACACATGGAGACTTACAGGGAATCCAGCTCTACCAGGCAAACCAGGTCCACCCTGTACAAGAAAACAATACATTTTTTTCATTTACTTCATTAGATTGATCATGTGCTTTGTTCACTTTACAGATATCACTTGTTATAGCCGTTCCAATTAAACTGGGAAATTGGAATTTCTGAGTTTCCAGTCAGAAATTTCAACTGGAATGCCCCATGACGTCGGATTACTCGGAAAGTCAGACAAATTTCATCAATCCCAACTTCAAAAAAACAAGATGGCTACTCTGCCCATCAGCAGTAAAAAAAAAAAAGCTGTAGTAATATACTTTTAACTAGCACTTGTGTCTTATTCGTGTTGTACACACATTTCTATACAACTTCTATTTGTGAACATGTACTTCAAAATGCCACAATTCATTTTTATACACTGGTATTGCTAACAATGGCTAACAGTGGCTAACTTGGCTCAAACTGGTATTATGGTTAACTGAAACTGGAAGCCAGTTAACTTCGGTGTGGTGTCATTCCAAATTCCTAGTTCCAGGGTAAATGAAACACACCATTATCCAAGCCAAGTTGGTCTAAGCTTGTTCTAAAGTGTAGAATGTGTAATATGTGCACATTTGATAAAGGTCATGTTCTGTGTTGAAGTTTCTTCAAATTTACAACTAATGACCACATGGAATCAAGGATGAACTCATTAGATGTTGGGGGCCAAACGTCAAGGTCACAGTGACCTCATGTCTGTCCCATTCTCATGAGTTTGACTGGTTGGCAGAGGCCTACAACTGCACAGTGGTAATTCTAGTTTTGGTATTAGTATTACTGTGCAATAATGAATACCCACCTGAGGCCCAGCACTGTCAACTACAGCACCCAACTGTATTGACACAAAGAGAATGACAAAAAAATAAACATCATTACTGATTAAAACTGCTGAGTTTTGGATTTCAGGCTAAAAGAATTTTCCTGATACAAATTGAAACAGCAGTGCTGGTTCCCTTTTTTTGAAGGAATGTTTTCCATGTATGCCACTGTGAGTGTGTGTGTGTCCGTGTGCACGCGCCTGCCACGTGTTTCTTACATTGTCAGGCGTCTGGTAGATTATTTGTCCTGGTGGTCCAGGAGGACCTGGTGGACCTGGGAGTCCGGTTCCATCGCGACCTGGTTCCCCCTAAAACCACAACACACACACACACATACACCACAAGAAAAGATACGTGAATGTCCCACCTAGCAAGAAATGCAAAACTGCAAATTAATCAAATGCTCAATGTGACAAAATGTTAATCTTGTGTCTTAAAAAGGATTAGATATGTAGACATTTTTAACATAACAGGTATTTTTCCCCTTTCCTTCACAATTATGTAGTAGTCTGAGATAAAAATAACTACAGAAACACTCAGTAATGAGATGGCATGGATGTTTCAGTACAATATCAGATCAGCATCTCACAGAAAATTACAGATATTCAGGGTTAAAAATGATAGTCACCCTTTCTCCTTTGTCACCTCTGACACCTTGTGGTCCCTATAAAATTCAAGTGAATAAGACAAAAGACACTTTAATGAAGAATCAAATACCTTCTTAATATGTCATATGGATACAAAACTGGTTACTACACATCTGATTGCTCCATAATATATCTTAACTCAAGGTCCACTTACTAGCTAAAGAACTGTGTCTCATGTTCTCTGCTAGTGGATGGAGTTTGCCCAGTTGTTATCAGATGACCCAAGTATGGAGAACAACTAAGCGATCTCTTTGACAACTTAACACAACCCATCCACTGATGAAGATGGTGAGATGTTTTTACAGGCTCTGAAAAAACTACTAAGTTGACCTTGAGTTAAACTACATAAATAATCTGTTAAATATTCCAATATGATAATATTTAAGAACAACAAACACATCTAACACTATGTTAACAGGCACATGACCTCTGGTATCCAATGGAGAACAGAGTACAGTATTCCCAGAGCTCGAGGGTAATGCCTCTTTTTACCGTAGTTCCAGGGAAGCCATCCAGCCCTGGTTGTCCATCTTTTCCTACAGGACCTTCACTGCCCTTCTGACCTGGTGTGCCAGGGAACCCGGGTTTACCCTGCAGAGAGGTTCACTGAAGTTACTCCAACCATCAATAACTGACTTTACAGTGAAAAGTTTGTTTGTACGAGCTAGCTTATTTTTGTCAACTCTAATGGTTTTGAAAACAAACATGAAATGACAGGAGAAGAGAGTAGTGAGGATACAGCTGATCCCAACGCAGAAACTCGAGGGAGCGTATAGGCTATGCACTTAAAAAAAAAAAAAGAAAAGAAAAAACTAAAGATCTGCTGGGCAGCACGGTGGCGCAGTGGTTAGCGCCGTTGCCTCACAGCGAGAAGGTTCTGGGTTCGGGACCTTTCTGTGTGGAATTTGCATGTTCTCCCCGTGCTTGCGTGGGTTCTCTCCAGGTACTCCAGCTTCCTCCCACAGTCCAAAGACATGCAGCTTAGATTGATTGGTGTCTCTAAATTGCCCATAGGAGTGCGTGTGTGTGTGTGTGGTTGTTCGTCTATGTGTTAGCCCTGTGATGGATTGGCGACCTGTCCAGGGTGTACCCTGCCTTCGCCTGATTGCCGGCTGAGATTGGCTCTGTGACCCCATTCAGGGACTAAGCGGTAGAAAATGAATGAATGAATAAAGATCTGCTAAAGATAGCTTGTGTTTCTCCACTAATAATAAAACCTTGGGTGACATTGTAGCTGATCACATATTCAGAACAAGATCCCTTTTTGATCTAATAATTTACTTTTAAGGTAGAAAAAACAGAAACACTCAAGACAGATGATTAGAAAAATTGTTTACATACTGGAATTCCAGGAAAGCCAGGAGGACCCTGAAAGGACACGTTAGTCTTGGTTATTTGCAAGATCATGTACAGTCACTTCAGAAAGTATTCAGACTGCGTCAGCTTTTGGACACCTTGTGCTGCAAATTCTATTTGGAATGCATAAAATTGCCATTTTACCCATCAAGCTACACTCAAACACCTGTAATAACAAAGTGAAAACATGTTTTTATACATTTTTGCAATAAGCCCGCTTCACACTTCAGTTAAATTGACGTCTCTCATTTACAAAAGCTATGGCACTCCAAGTTGTGGTCAGATGCATCCTGTTGGCAATCAGGCCAAACAGCAAGAGATACTGTTAATAAGTTACCTGTCTTCCTTCTGGTCCTCTGACACCAGGTAGGCTACCGATGAAACCTCCAGTAGATCCCTCCATGTCATCCTTCAACAACAACAAAAATGTTATGACGAACAAAGTCTTTTGAAAAACCTTTGCCAGTTTTCTAAAAGCATCTTCACCATATCTAACACAGAACTTACAAATCCAACGCGGTAACTTGGACCGGGGGGCCCAGGAGGCCCAGCTGGCCCGGTTGGTCCCATAGGTCCAGGACGACCAGCCAGTCCGGGCTGTCCTGCAGGTCCTGGTAGACCAGGGTCTCCTCGAGCTCCCTTTAGGATATGACAAGAGTAATATCATAAATAAATAAATTCAAATGAAAATAAAAGCAAATACACATATTTCAGTTGTATTGAAGTGCATTTTAGCAGTGTAAGCTAATGTGGGATAAATATTATATATTCTTTACAAAACTACTGATATACTGTATGTGTCATACAGCATTCAGTTTTCAGTACTGTAAGTGTGGATTAAAGGTACATGAGGTAATGTAACATCATAAAAACCAAGGCTCATTTTTCTGGGACCAAATTCAGACATCACCAAATGTTAAATCAAACCATAGCCAACACTCAGCAATTTAAGTGATGCCTGTAGCTAATCGTATTTGACAAACATATGCATATTATTAGAAAACACAAATCTCCTTTGGTGGTTGACGTGTGAAAGCCAGTTACCTACAGATTGGAAGACTTAGAAGGAAAATAGTGAGGCAGAGGAGTGGTGAGAACAGAAGAGGAGCTTGGCTGGAGAAATGAACGGTGTTGGAAAAGTCTTAATAATAAAAATTCTAGATTTCGAGAGAAGACTATTCTAAAAGCACAACGGCAACTTACACTTGACATTGTATACTGTTATGCACCTTCTTCTCAGAATTGGGTCTATTCTCCTATACTGCTGGTCACAGCAAGGGCAGTTTACTTTGCAGAGTATAAATGTCACTATAAAGCTGCAGTTACTTCAAGATAAAACTGAAAATATATATATCCACACCTTTTCTCCAAGAGGTCCTGGAAGACCCAGCTCTCCTGAATCACCCTAATGTAGGAAAGAGTTAAAGAGTTAGGCATGTTTTTACTTAAATCATGTTTTTGTTAAAAAAAAAAAAAGACAAAAAGAAGGAAGAAAAGAGGATTGCAACAACTGTACTCTGCACATTTGTTGTTGACATTTTGTGGAAACATCAGCTCAGTGTCACGCCTCTGGCTGGACATTTCTGGACAGCTGCAGGTACTTGACATCTAATTTGGTGTTACAAGGAAATGTCCACTGCCGCGTGTCACTGTTCTGTGTAGCCTCCAACAATTGGCAGAAGCTATTTTCCAATTTCTAACAACAGCATTAATTATGTACGATTAGCCTCTGTATGAGTTTCCTTAGGATGACCAATATTTAACTATTTGTTGTCAGTTGGACCAAAAGATTCATGACCCCTAGAAAACACTAATGCAGGGAGAGTTAGTATTGCAGAAAATACATGTACTTTTTTTGGGTAATTCCAGTTCTGACCTAGTACGTACACATGTCTGATATGCAGTATGTATACAGTTTTTTTTAAGCAAAAATTACTTAATTTCACTTCGACTTAAAACTGTGTACAGTATTTTTTAAGGAAAAATGACTTAATTTCACTTCGACTTAAAACTGTTAATGTCTTCACTACAGGTCCTTTCAGACATGCACTTTCACAAGGTTGTTACCTTCTCTCCCTTGGGCCCAGGAGCTCCTGTGAGGCCATCGGTACCTGGTTGACCAGGCAAGCCCTGGAGACCAAAAGATTTGATTTAATGTATAGTAGTTTTTTGGTTAGGTTGTGCAGTTATTATAATTACCATTCAGGTTGTTGAGAGAGTTATTGGGCAAATGGCACTGAGAAACAAGAAGATTGACACTTACAGGTTTGCCAGGTGCCCCCTCCTTTCCTGGTGGTCCAAATGCCCCAGAACTCAATGCTGTGCCGCCCGTAGAGGGTCCGGGGGGACCAGGGGGACCAGGGGGACCTGGTGGCCCTGGCAGTCCCTGCAACAAAAACATTATTTACAGTAGGCTGTGATGTCTTTTCAGATCAAAGATTTGTAGCTGAATAAAAGGAAACATTTATATAAACAGACGTCTTTCAGGAACAACACATCTTCTTCATGCTTGGCCTTTGACGGTCAAGACAAGCAACAAAAACAGGGTCCTCTACGACACCACTATCGATGTGTGTGGCATTCAAATGGTCAATTCTCCTCACCCGAATAGATTCCAAGTCAGGGAACCCTGAGCCTTCCATGTCCACAAAAGTCTGAAATAGATCCATTAAAATCAGTTGTTTCCAACAAATGATTCACAAAGCTGTTTTCTGCTGACACAAATCATGTCTACATGTTGTCAAACAATTAACTTACAGATGTAAATCCTGGTCCTGCAGGTCCAGGAGGTCCTGGGGGTCCCCTGGGGCCAGGTTGACCCTCACCACGGTCTCCCTGTATGAACAAGACTCATGAAGACAAGATACTCCATCCCTACAAAAGAAATATCTACAGTATATAAACTCAAAGGATTTCTTTTTTGTTTGTTTTGTAGTATTTGTGATCTCTGCATCTCACCTTTTCTCCTTTGGGTCCAGGGTCACCGGAGGTTCCTGGGAAGCCTGGGGGGCCATCAGGACCCTGTGTTGAAGAAAACAAAATGTAGGTTGTCATGAAGTTACTACAGATAAACACCAAGTGTAAAGGCCTTTAGTAACAGTTGAGAAAACTACTACTTACAGGTTTTCCATCCTCACCAGGGTCACCCTGCAAGATTGATATAAAGAATAAAATAAATGCTCTCAGATACATTTTGTGAATGAGGGATATAGAATATAAATACAGCTGCCTTGGCCAAAGCAGTCTCCACTTAACATTTGACATTTAACTCTTTTTAAAAAGAAAAAATTTGGAACTTAGGAATGGAACTGAAATTTTTCATTGCTTCTAACTTAAATGCTGTGACACAGTTGATGTTAGTTCAACAACAGCACATCTGTTGTATGTAATGTTTTCAAATATAAAAATCATTTGCAGTCTACTAACGGGCTCTCCATCTTCTCCTGATGGTCCTCGAGGGCCTGGGGCACCCTTTGGTCCCGGTGGTCCTCTGGGTACAGGGACCCTGGAAACCCCATCACTGCCAAGTAAAAGCTCGCTTGTTGGCCCTGGAGGGCCGGGGGGGCCGGGGGCCCCAGGGGGGCCAGGCTCACCCTTCTTTCCTTGGTAGCCAAAGCCTGCACTGCCCTGGAGATGAAGAAGCATCAGCGTTAACCTCCATGAGAGGAATTTAAGAATGTGTGCCAATTCAAGGCATGGATGGATTACTGACTGGGCATTACCAGGCACAGGCCCAGGGGCCTAAGGGGTCAGTGGGCCCCTAGCCCAGAGAATTCTGAAGGGAACGTTAACCTTTCTGTTGGAAAATCAATGAAAGGACTACAAAACAACTACAGAAAGTCACAAAACAAGAAAACATAGATTTAAAACCACTAAAGAGACAGAAGCTCCAAAGACAGTAAAATGACAACGAAAATATACAAAATGACAAAAAGAGACACAAAACATATACAAAAATGTGCAAAATACCTAAAAATAAAGACAAAAGAAGAAAAAAATAGGTACAAAATGACTATAAAGACATTTAAAATTTGTTAAAATTGACACAAAATGGCTAAACACTGACAAAGAACAACCACAAGAAGACACAAACTGCCTGCAGATCACACGGTCGCTCGTTGTGTGAGTCTTGTTCCTAGAAGTGTGAGAGAGGAGGTCTTTGACGTGTCTGCACCCACAATTTGAGCATGACTCCCACGAAACTTTACCAGAAACCATCATGGTGAGGTCAACACTACTGAATTCCCCTATATTATAAAATCTGTTCTAACAAGGGACTAGCTATAAAACACCAGGGTCACATTGTCTGTCTCATGGAGAACAGGTGATGCTGATGAAGAAGAGAACGATCCAAAGTCATGACTGCATTTTTATTAACTTGTTCACTTTAAGTGATACACAGAGACTCAAAGTCAAAGGTCACCCATAAAAAGAGATAATGTGTAGCTTACCTTTGTCCCCTTTTCCCCAGGTTCGCCCTGACAATTAAAAAGAACAAAAAGAAACAGTGAAGTCACTCTCAACAGTTTTCACCCGCTGTCGATTTGACTAGAAACACTAAAAAGACACTGGCAGATTCACTCGTTGGAGCATTTCATCTACATTACCTCATGATGAGTGTACAGCACGAAAGTGGAAATCAAATTCTGCTCAATTACAAAGCAGCACGTTCAATGATTTGTTCTAACATGTTTTTAAAGAAAGAAAATGAACTTAGAACCAAATCCCGTTACCAGTGAGACGACTTTTAAACGTATCCCAGATGACCCTAATCATCTTCATGTGCTTGAACCAAAACGCAAGTTTTGTTGGTCAAGAGAACTAAGTGACCTTTTACTGTTTCATTGCCATGCTTCGATTTTAACGCAGTGCTTGTGTTATGTGGACCTTACACTTTCATTTTAATTGATTTTGGTTTTAGTTCGTGATGTTAATATCCTGTGCTAGACTGAAGTTTTTTGTCTTCATTTGGTCAAGTGGATTATTTGTATTTTGTTTTCTGACAAAGGAAATCGGATCAGTGTCAGACCAACTGGAATGCCCTCGCTTCAGAGGTTCTTCACCATTTTACAATTAGTGTCATGATATTTGTCCTACGTAAAGTCAAAGGAACAAATATGCATAATACAAACACACACACACACACAAACACAAACACACACAAATCCATGTTAAGTCAGTCCATTCTTATTGAAAGAAAATGTACAGTATGCAATAAATTCTATACAATAAAAAATCTATAACAAAGTAACATAAAAATATCTTGACATGACATTATATTAAGAATTGTACAGTAGCTCCCTCTAGTGTTTCTTTGGGACAGTTCACCAAAACAGCAATTACTGTAGCTACAATGCTCAGAAGGGCCACGATATTCTCAGTACACTCCAACTCTCAAACCACACATCACATTACTTGTCCAATAAATATACTGCATCCACTATCAAAGCAGAAAATACAAGGTCCAAACCTTCTGTCCATGGGTTCCAGCCTGTGAGCTGGAGCCAGAGCCTGCCTCTCCCTTTGGCCCAATTGGACCACGATCTCCTTTCTCTCCTCTGTCCCCTCGGTCGCCCTTCTCTCCTTTAGCTCCAGCTGGTCCTGGAAAACAACGACCAAAGACAGGGTCATTAATTCCCACAAGATGAAACCTGATGATGTAGGATTGTGTCCCACATTCTAAACAATAAACAGGACCTTGTGTGCTCCCAAAGGAAGAGGACAAAAAGGGAAAAGAAAATGGCTTTTGTTTGATGGAGCAAGAATCCCATTTTACATGGTTGCAATTTATAGCCCATGTGAAGATTTTAAGGCAGTGGTTGATTACACCTTTTCACCCCTTCATGCCACCACCATCCAAGACAGTATTTATTTTCTGGTGTGGCCCAATTCGACTTTCCAACTGGATGTGTCACTTTCAGTAAAGAGTCTGGCTAACATGCAGTACTAGTAGCCATATATGTCCAATCCCAAACCAGAAATTGTTATTCTATATTCTTCCAAGAACCAGGCACCCAGACCATGCAACATATACTTTTATATCGTTTTCATTTTCACCAGAAAACCAAAAACCAATAAAGGCGTTTCTTTCAAATACACTCTTCTAATTTCTCTCTGTGAAGTAAATTTTTTCTGAGGATTATAGTTAGAGTATCCTAATTTTCCATACCCTGGCCTACATACTGTATGTCCACTGCCCTGTGCAGAAGATAAATTCATGCATTTTTGTGTTTTGTGCTTTTTTTTTTTTAATCCATGTTAAGTCCTGTGTGAGTGAGAGCCTGACATGAGTATGAAGCTGGCAGAACATTAATACAGAAAGCAGGAAAAGAACAGGAGATGTGGATACTGTCTGTGTTTTCAACTCCCCTGTGACTCACCTGATGACCCAGGAAGTCCGACCCTGGGTTCCACAGAAACAGAAGCATGCTGGGAGTCACTTGCTGAACACAAGGCAAAAGACAATGTTAAGTTACAGTAAGTCTCCAGGGTGAAGTGGGCCATACTGCCAACATCCAAACACATAGACAGCTGTAGTTTCTACATGGTGAAACCAAACTGTATTAAAATGCCCTTTAATAAAATCTCAGCATGTGCATGTTACGTATTTTTAATTACATATCTCAAAAAGTGGAATACAGAAGTAAATGGTTAAATGATGTGTCTTTGTCACATACACAATTGTGAAAATCAGAAAACAGTACATGGTAACAGAAAGGTTAGCCCTGCGATGGACTGGTGACCTGTCCAGGGTGTACCCTGCCTTTCGCCTGCAGGGATTGGCTCCAGCCCCCCGTGACCCCATTTGGGACTAAGCGGTGTAGAAAATGGATGGATGGATGGGTAACAGAAAGAAAACACATTTTCCTATACTACTAGTACGAATAAATCACTCAGTAAAATGACAACAACCCTCTGAGATCCTTCTCAATCACTATTCCATTAGTTGGGATGTATAGCAGTTATTTAATTTGATGTAATTTAAGTAACAGTAAGCAACACCTGTCTTTAGTGCTGCTTACAAGGACTACCAGGACTCATACTGCATTACACCCGATGTCCACTAGATGGAGACATGTGGCAGTGAATCTGCTGTAGTCACAACAAGCTCTGGCTAGCTCAGTTATTCATTTTCAAGGTATATGACTTCAGCTTCAGCAATGCAGCCATGTGCTGTTAGAAACATTCCCCTCACAGGTCAGCTTGTAGAAATACATCTTTCTGTTTCTTTTAGAGCTTATCAAACGCAACCAAAGACAACAAAAGGGGAAATTGGGTGCATTTAACCAAAGTCAGACCCCAAAGCCCAAATAAGAGGCATTGTACACCTAAATAAACGAGTTGCTTCATTTTGCATATAGTTGAAATATTTGGCCTTTGGGCTGCTGTGCTATTTCTTTTAAAGGAAAATGAAAAAAATTATGAAGAACTGACATTTTCACAACAGCACAAAGGCAGATCCAAAGGCATCTGTGAAAACACTCTGGCTTGCATGAAACATTAATACACTCTTTAGAAAGAAACTGAATAAACTTTGACAGAAAAACAACAACAACAAACAAACTAGATGACTGAATTCACATAGTCTCACCTGTCTCTCTTGTAAGGGCCCCTTCCTGTTTCCTGGTCAGCGGTGGTGGCTGAATGGGCTGAGAAGACGGAGGAGCAGTCTGCAGGAAAACAATCATGCAAAAGACAGAGATACATATTTAAAAAAAGGGCACTCAGTGACATTTACTGAAAGCTGTGCTTGCTCTAAACTGTAAGCCATGTAAGAACCATGTCACAGCATGGCAAAAAGCCATCCTTGTTAACATTAATCACACACAGTCCCAGTGAAAATGACTCATGTTTCAAAACTGTTACTATTCAGCTGCACTAATGTTTACAGCCAAACCTCTCTTCTTCACTAACAAGCCTTTTTTAAACATGACTGAGTCAGCATGTGCATGGCAAACCACAGAGTGGCTAAAACTGTTTCATTAATTTACCTTTCTGTCAGACATCTCATGCCTGGACCCTACTGCAAAACTCCTATGGGAACATTATTAAGGCTATCAGTGAATAAAAGCCCAAGTGGAAGGATATAAAGAGACTGTGTCCCCAACCTTTACCTTCTTACAATTAGTACAATACTCATGATGTTCTGTGTAATGCTTTTATTAAAGTGTCTTTGTGGGGGTTGGTTCTGTGGACAAAAGAGACAAGCCAGCCTTCAGTGTACCAACACTGTTACTAAAAACACAGCAGGACAGACCTCACCTCCCCCAACATTTTTGGGGGAGGTGAGGTCCCTTCTGCTTCCCAAATTGCCTTTGGGTAAAAAGAGAGAGGGGGTGGAAATGCAAATACCCTCCCCAGCCCCCCGCGCTGGCTGCCACAGGACACACCTTGAATTGTCACCTGTGGAATTCAAAATGAATGCAGCACAGGGGGCAGCAGTAGGGGCAGTGTGAAGTCAGTGTTGATGATTAACCAGTTTCCTCTCTGGGTGACTGTTCTGCCCACTGTGTAGCGTGGCACTGACTATGCTTAGAATTTGGCCAGACCATTATTGACCGTTCTTAGTTGACATATGCATTCATGTGATAAAGAATACCATTCTTGTTCACTCCTTTACATATCCATCATAGCTGGCTCCAATCATTAGAACACTGTGTTGATGGATCTGGATCTGAACCACACAACCCCCTGAATCTGAGCACAGGCATGCATCTCCACTAGAAATCACAGCTCTTTTCAGTACATAAAGTATCACAGAGGAAATTTACTGGCCTTTGCACATTCTGTGGTTAGCCTGAAGATAAAGAAGAACCCCCCCAGCTGTTTATAAAATGCAGTAATCAAGGTTTGACTCTCATTTGTCTGACTCTTGTGTAATCAAGAGGCATTGTTAGGGTGAGCATCAGATATGATTTGAATTAGTTTTGGTGTTTTACTTCTAGCTGTTTGGAACAGAAACAAGTAAAAAGCAAGGCTCCTATTGGGAACTCCTTTTTGATGATCTTGTGCGGTGAGGTCAAAACAGCCCCCATTACTACAAATAAAAGCTAGTTCATCTGCCTTCCATATCTTGTAAACTGTTGTCCCTGAAAATAGAACAGCTACAACAACACGTCCCTCCAGGCAGTTATCAGGAACATCTCATCTGCTCAGTAAATCCACGTAAATCTGTTTATTGAATTCTCCAAACAGTGTTTCTAGATTTAAAACGTTTTGTATGTTTATTTTTTTGATCCAAGACATTTCTTAGCCATATCATGTCACATGTAGGGAA